TCTCTTTTGCCCACCGGACGGCTCGTACACACCAAACATCCGCGTTCGTGTGGTATCATGCGTCACGCAAATGCACAAAAGAATTTATTTAATATCTGGGCCCTTTCTGTGTTCCCACCAATTGTTCATGTTCATGTGGTAGTGATAGTTGTCATTCATGCGTGTGATGAGTTTTATGGCAGCCATATAATTTCATGCGTCTGCTTTCTTGTGACCAACTGCTCCCCCACAGGAGGAAGATGGGGACCTGCTCTTCATTAAGAGCATGATCCCCATGATAAAGACATTAGATGTCTTACAGAACATGTAGCTGCAAGCAGAAATACATGGTGTTCTATTCAAATACTGGAAAAGGGTACGCTCTACTACCGCGGAGCCCACAACTGGTGCAACGGGAGAGCGAGAAATGTGTCAAGACCAATATCGATATGAATATTCAGTTTATTTATCTATCTTTTAAATGTCTTTCACTTGTCTGTAACTGGTGCTCTTTGTTTTTAAGTGAGGTGTCAGCAAACTCAAAAGGCTGTAAAATGTATCTGGTTTCATTCGAATGTATCCTATACATTTGTCTTCGTGTGACAAAATTTGGGATAGCAGATGGTGATATTCGCCATATAGTTATCTATCTACCGAAATTGGGTGGATCCAGTGCCAACTTTTCTTCCTCTTATTTCTTTCTTTTAACTCAGTAAAGTCTTCAGTTTAGTCTTAGCATCCAGCTTGTTATAAAACACACACGATAGCGCATGAATAGACGGAAGATAGGTGTGAATGGGCACACATTGTGCGTCAGACGAATGCGCAATACCACACGAACGCCGATGTTTGATGTGTAAGAGCTGTAACTCGGCCGATGAGCCTGCCAAGACTTCTATCATCACGCATTTGTTTAAATCACATCCTTCCTTTAATCTACAAAACTCCTGTCCTTCTTGACACTCCAAAGTAAAAGGCTGTCCATGGCCATATTATGAATTTTACAGCCGGATTCAAAATTTATGACAAAGCATCGGGCAATGAGTGACCATGCTTTGCCGCCTGAGACAGGTAAATTTGACCGTGGGTTGATAAAATAAGGTGGCCGCGACCGCGTTGGACAAGTGACCGTTTTACACAACTAAATTATATAGGAAAAAGGCAAGGGGGGAAATGGAAAGTCACTGTATTATACAGGTTCAACTGTATTAGATATGTTGACGGCTTTTGTGTTTAATGCTTGATGTGCTCAGGTTTGCAGGAAGTTGTTATTTGATGAAATATGAGTAAGTTTTACAGATGATATGTGTGTCAAGAAAATATTGTAAAACTATCCTTTGCTTGAGACCCCGTCATCTATTTGTTTGGAAGTGTGATTGGAATGTGCCATTGATAGGTTTGCTTCCTTTCTTTCCCTGTTTTTTTTGTTGTTGTTGTTGTTTGGGGGTTGTGGGTTTTTTTTTCTTGCATGCTATTCTGTACACTGAATGACCATTATTGTGTCTGTGTGCTTCTGTGATTCTCTTTCCAATAACTCCAAGCTCTTTCCTTTTAGTGGCCTGATTGTTGTTCCTTGTCTTCTTCAGGTCAAAAACTACATCCCATCAATCAGCGCTGTGACAGGAATAACGCCCCAGACGTACGTATGGCGTACTTGTATCGCCCTACACGCAGCTCCTAGATTTGCTGTCACCCTTATATACTACAACTATTACCTGGCTAGGATACAGCACGTCCCATCCCACAGAGTTGGGCTGTTCAAGTTTCTCATCAAACTGAACTTCTGGCTCAACTTTGTTGAGAACTCTTGCCTGGTGTTGGTGGCTTACATCACAAACAGGGAGAATTATCGTGAGTTCATAGTCTGCCTTTATGTCAGTAATGATTTCACTAGATTTTTTAATGGGTAGACCAATGCGTTGTACAGTCGACTCCTCTTGTGTAGAAGTCACATCTTCTTTACAATTATAGAAATCAGTTATGTTTTAGTAGAGGTTTTACAGTACTCACAACTGCATAAGGTCATCAGTTATGTTTGGTTCAACTCAAACGTATATATACGTTTGAGAAGAAATGCTTTTGTACTCCCGGCTGCATGTATGCTACAGCTAAATTGACTTTTTGTGCATATATTATCAGAATTGGCAACAAATTTTGACATGGTTGATACTTCACGTTAAAATACATGTTGACCCAATCTATATGCAGTAAGGCTACGCAGTGCCTCGATGAAACTCCTGGGACTTGACTACTGAAACCTGCACCCTGGTGATGTTAAAATAGCTGGGAATGGTTCTTGTTCTTCCTGAAGTGGTCATTTTGTTTGGGAAATATTATGAATTTGCTATGAATCCAAACTTACGGAACTTCTCTACCCTTGATACCAAAGAAGGAGGACTCTTAAGCATTCTTTCAGTACTGTGGGCGGAACTTACGTTTACTGTCAGGGATGGTGAGTTGGTGGAGAGGTAATGTTCAATACAAAAAGCTCTCTGCTCTTTACTAAACTTAACCATTATCTCAGCAGGCAAAGGAAATTTGACAAAAACAATATTTGCAAACTTCTGCTGGCTTGTTAGACTGCCGTAGTTTGCGATATGGCGCAATCGTTGCAACTTTTAGTGGTAGGCCTTATGCGAACTGGTGTGCCATGCTACAAAATTGAGGACAAGGTTGAAAATCGTTGGTTTTTTTAATGCACCATATAATATAGCAAAATCATTCTGTGGATTTATCGAAAATGAATATCAAATTAGTTTTGACTTCCAAATATTATGGTCAAATTTAAGACGCAAAACTTCAGTATAGGCGAAAATATTTATAAGACAAGTTTTAAAGTACTGACTGCTGAAAATAAAAACGATGTTTATTTCTAATCTGTTTGGTTAACTTTTCAAAACGAAGTGGACTGTATTTTTATTATGTTGTGTGCTGCTTGTATTTCTTTTCTATTACTTCATTGTTCATGGAAGATTTCTTCAAACTGGTCTCTTTTCCTTTTGATTGCTCATGAAAAGGTAAATAGATTTCAAGGAACCGGATTAGAAACAAAGTGAAGGAGGCCTTTCTGGAGAATCGTATATAAAGATGATTCGACTATTTTGGTGCTGTAGGTGCCCAGAAAATTTTAAACGTTTTTTGTTGTATGTCTTTTTTGTTGTTGTTTGTTTCTTATCACACTTTCTGCCCGTTTGCCTATATTCTATAAATGCCTTTTTTATGTCCGAAGACTTTGAGTATAAGTCAAGAAAATACGCCTCCATGAAAACTCGCTTTCTGTGCATGTAATCCCGCTGTTCCATTGTCCCTCCCCTGTACAAGTAACTAGGAACATTTGAACAAGGACAGCTAAATTTTTACTTTAACTCCTGCCCACAGTTGCACTGCTTTTAGGGTAAAATGGTTGTATTTTTTGCTGCAGATCACACATATGACCACTAGACTGGTGGCAATCAATTATTTTCAAGGACATTTTGAACATAACTGCAAAACCTCAAATTAAGAGCAAAAACAGGGGGCATGCCCCCCTGAACCCCCCCTCCCCCCAGATTAAAAAAAACGTAGGTTGTGTATCCCCCTGAAACAACCCCCGCCCCCCGGATTGGTCCAATTAACATAGTTTGAAATAAAACCGTTTTGCCCAGTGTCATGAGAAATTACCTTTGTAACTAACAGCGACCCAAAATGTCACGAACGTTCTCTTTTCTTTTACTAGACCTGGGGGGGGGGGGGGGGGGGGGTCACATGTATAATTCCTATTTTAGATACTGGGTACATATGTTTTCGCAAATTGAAGGGAGAGAAGAAAAAACAACCCTGAAAGTAAATTTTGAATTCCACATACATTGACTTTGTAGCAGTTTGTTGTTGTTTTTTACTTGTATCTGTTAAGCTACTACGATCTTTTATTGTATATTGGTTTGGGTTGGTTTTTTAAAATTTGTTTGTATTTTCTTTACTCTCACCTGCCTTTTTACCTGGGTTCTAAATACCAACATTTCCTTATTGTTCATTGTGAAAATTTGCCCCGAGATTTGCTACATGATGTTATGGTGAGGGAAATTTTTTTGTCTGAGAATTGTTGTAAGGCTCAGTCTAGATAGAGATGATGAAAGCCAAGTTGTATTTGTTTTTCCAGTTGGCACATTTTTAAACCTTATTCTCATAGAAGACTGGCAGATATTTGTGATAGTTGTGTCCACTTTTTTTGTTACAAGTGGCACGGCTAAAACAAAAAAATAATTTCTTTCTAACTATTTTCACATTGGACATTGCATTTGTTAACAATGCTGTTACCTTTCCCTTCAGTACTTTTATTTAATTGCACATAATAATGCTGTTACTGATTTTATTTCTGTGATCTGAATTTAAAGCTTCCCATTCTTATACTATGCAAAATGCACACTTGTGGATTTTGTATTGTAAGGATTTTTTCTTTGAATTTTGTCAGTGTCACGATAGCTAATGTGATGTTTGTGTTGAGTTAATGGAACACCGTTTTCACCTTATGATTTTTTCTTTGAACCCACAGCGGTGCATGAAAAAATCTTTGTTGTATTCATGGTCACCTCACTGTGCTACATGCTCTTAAATACCATCATCTACAAATGGACGAGAGGTCCAGAAATGTCGGAGACGGTAAGTTACTCCAGGTGTTGCTCTAATTTAATTGATTCCTTGTGTAACTTAATTGCAATTTTTGCCAAGTTAATTTTTTCCAAATTCCTTTTTTTTCTCTAAGATTTTGCCTTGAACACTGCATGTTTGTAAGATTTTTTCTTCAAAAGCCCTTGGTTCTTCAACTTATGAGAGCTGTACAAGGTGTGATTTTTACAAGTGAAGTGTTGTTTCAGGATTGTCCAGTTCATTAAAGTCTATTTGCTGCTGCCTTGAGTTTGACAGTTTCAAATGAATTTCTTTCTTATAATTCCTAGAAGTGCTTTCTTGTCCTTTTTTTGGTTGATGATTTTTTTTAAAAGTAGCTTTTAAAGTTTGTATTTTTTCAGAGTGCCTTGTCTGTAATTTTCAACTTTGAATCTTCAATCTAGTTTCCTGTTATAATTACTGATCTATGCTGCTGTTCTTCTTACCCATGTTATGATGTAAATCCCTCTGCTTCTCACCAACACAGGAAAACCGCTCCTACTGGTGGAAAAAGGCAATGTTTGTGTCCATATCAGCAGCAACAATAGGACTTATATTTTTCTTCATCCAGCACAGACTTTTTTGTGTAGTTGGAGGTAAGTATGATGTTGATGCACAAATGTTCTTGTAATGGTGGTACACACTTTTAATATTGTTCCATAGACTTTTGGTCATTTTTGTTTTAAGTGTTGAGCGTACGCCCTGACCATTAAGGAGTACTAAACCAAACTGTCGTAAAGATAAATTGGTGGGCTGTTGTGGTACAGTGGGTTCAAGGTCCGGCACAGAATGTCTGGTTTATCCTCAGAAATGTCACCAAATGTTTCTATTCTTTTGTGGAACATCTTTCCTTTCAGTCCAGTGTTCTGAACGGGTGATTGGAGGGTGCCAGTGGTAGATCTTTCTTCTTTACTTTTCCTTTGTTGTTACTGTCAGTCTGTTTACCAAACTCATTTCATGCACTGAAAGAATGTTATGTATCTCTTTACTCAATTTGAGGGAAAATAAAAAAATTAATGTTTTGATGGTGTGCGGAGTACCTTGTAAAATGACTTTACTTGTGTATAGTTTGGTGTGAAACTTCACCTCTTTACAGAGAACATGTTAGTGTTATTCTGTATTCTCAGTTCACCACTATTTCTTTTGCTGTCCATGTTTCTAGGTCTTCACAAACTGTTGTTGAAAGTGAGAAGTAGTCCTGTCAGGTTGTGGATGGTTGGAGGGCACCGCTGGTTAGATTTAACTCATTTTTCTTTCTCTCTTTTGTTCTTTCTGTTTGCCTGTCTTCCATGTTGTACCCATGCTATAAATGACTGTTACTGTGTCAATATATTTCTCTTTATGTAAACCCTCTAGAATCTCTGTGAGGATGCATGACAGAATAGAAGGAAAGTAAATGGCCATGGAATGTAATGGTTGTGAATGATGAGTTGATGCAGTTTGCTAATGTTCCTTTTGTGTCTTGTTTCCAGCATTCAGCATGTTCTCTGTGTGTGAGTACGTCATCGCCTACACCAACATGGCTTATCACTTCACCGGCTACCTCGACTTCAAGGGCCAGTCACTCATGTTTGGTCAGCTCCAGAGGGAAGGAGATAATCACAACAGCAATGGAACAGCACTCACCGACAACAGCAATGGGACAGCACTCACCAACAATAACAAGGACAAAGCAAAAGTTCATTGATACTTCTGCAGCTTTAGTTCTGTGTTTGTACGTTTTTGAGTTTTGTGCTATCGAAGAGGCCCCTGGTGTCTTTGCTATTGAAGAGGTTACAGAGGTCACTATGTCTGTGCTATTGAAGAGGTCAGTAGTGTTTTTATTCTTGAACAGGTTGGTGATTTGTTTTTCTGTTTTAAAAAATTCCTTAGTTTAGCATTAAGGGAAGGGGGATAAGTAAGAGTGACTTTGCATAGGTTCTGGAGCCGAATGTTGGTTGGCAGTCACAGAATGTGGCTGTTTTGTGATGGGTAACTCACCGCAGTTTCTTTGTAGTTTGTAGGGACTGGGCAAGGTAGTCGATGAACCGAGACGTGTCACCACCTGCCTCTGGATATGGTTGTTTCCATAAGGAACCTCACTCGTCACTCCATGTGAGGTACTTTCTTGTATTTGTTCATGATTTACTTGAGGGGAGTGCAAGACATCTTCCATGTTCTGTTTCTGCTTTTCCTACTTAAACGGCTGTATTTATTAAGTGGTGATTGGCTCTGCTTCACCAGGCACAAAGCCACTTGTCTGTAGCCAACAAGTTGATTTTTCTTTGTCTGTCAAAAAGTCTCATTTATGTATGAGATGCTTGTTTTTAGACCTAGATGCTGTTGTTTCTTCTTTTCTTATTGCAGTCAGTCTGTTCAGTTTTTATATCTTTTCTCATCTTTGCTTGAAACCGAACGATCAGTAGCAGATTTTTGTGGTAAGAAATAGTACAAAAATATGCTTGGAGCATCCTTTTGCTCATTTGAAAATGTTCTAGCCTCTGGGTTGTTATCTGAACAGTTTCAGTTTGAAGCTTGATAAACACTAGTGTTGGATTATCATGAGCATAAAGTACTACTCTTCTAGATTTCACAGCATTGTTGTGAGTGAAAAAGATAGAAGTGCCAGTGTTAAATGAACACATGACATTTTACCTTCGTGTTTATTAACAAACTTATGACAAACATGTCTCCCACAAAACCTGATGATAACCGCAGTCGGAAAAAGCAAAAAGTATAGAAAAGTTGACTTAGATCTTTCCTGTATGAAGAGTTTGCAAAGACATTGAGTCATAAACAATGGTGCTTTTGATTGTAAGCCATAGAAAGTTAGTTCCATTTTTATTTGGAGAATCACTTTTAAACTACAAATGTGCTTTTTACAAAAACAAGTATCAGGGTGTTATTATATTCACTGAATCCTTTCAGTTTTGTTGCAAGAAAGTGTTTGTTTATTTTGTTTTTGTGTTGGTTTTTTCGGGGGGGGGCGGGGGACATTTTTACTGTTTGTTGTTGACAGAAATGTTCCCATCCTATTCTGGGTATCATGTATCTAATATAATATATGATTGTCTGGACTTACAGTTTTCTCAGTTCTGTATTTTACTTACTGTTCTTTCATTCTTCTCCCAAGAACAATCAAATGAAAGTATACATTGTTTTTTTTGTTTGTTTTTTTTATTTAAAAATTGTTTCATCTTAGTGATGATATCTATTTTTCAAAGTGATTCTTTCATTTATTGTCTTTACTTAAAGTGTTTAATATTTTAGTGACTCGTGAACTGCCAAATCAAAGTACAAATCTGTCATTGTGAACAAAGGGCATGTTGTTGGGATGTTAGTTTTTCTTTTGTTCCGTTTGCCCCCCATGATGTTGCAGTAATTTGTTACCTTGCACAGAGATATGTGATGTATTTGTTCCACAGAATACCACGATATTACTTTACGGACCTTGGTCTCTCGTTTTTGAACAAAGTTTGAATTTTATCTACTTTTTGGAACTGGGAAGTCTCTTTTTTAGATCTGTCACAAACAAAGAAATCAATGTGAAGACCCAATCATAAAATTGTGGGCGTACAAAACTTAAGCGTTAATTTTTAACATTATTTTTCTTTATAAGACTTCTGGCGAGTGGCATGTTTTCCTAGAGAAATGAATCTGATCTATAAGTCGCACTGTTAATTTGCTGTCAAGAAAATGGATTGTTACTATCTCTAGTCAAAACATACTGTTGCTTTGTTTGTGTATTTGAAAGTGCTGTTGCAGTTTAAATTCTATGGTATTCTCTTACTGAGAAACAGGGCACTGGGAATACCATTTCAAGTTTTTCTTCAGAGTTGTTCAGGGTGATTAAAAAAGAATGGACAGATTTTATGACACATTGTTTCAGTTCTCAAGTATGTGATCATTTGAAAGAGGAGTTTTCTAAATTTGGAATGAAAGAGAATTAACCCATTTTATGATGCATTGCTTCAGTTCTCAAGCATTGTTATAAAATGGGTCAGTGACCATTTGAAAGAAGAGTTATCTAACTTTTGAATTGCTGTGCCCCAGTGATGGATTGGTCAGAAATGGGCTCAAGACCTTGCTCTCTGTGCTTGGCCTGCCAGATCCTCAGACCTTACAGTGTGATCTTTTTTCTGGTGGGGATATGTAAAAGATTGCATTTGTGTTTCACCACTACCTACTAACCTCGATGACCTTAAACATTGAATACAACAGCAACCAACTTAGTGGGACGTGATATGCTGAGACGCCTCTGGGAGGGATTCTCTTATCGTATTGATGTTGCCCATGCTGGTGCTGGTGGCCACATTGAATACTTGTGAGACTTAATTTGAGTTTTCTATTGCTTTTCCTTATTAAAATATTGCGTAATGAAATCAGTTCATTATTTTTAATCACCCTGTATTTTTTTCTCTGAGGTTCTTTGCGTACCTTAGAACTGAACTCTTATCGTAATGCTTGTGTATATGTGAGTGTTTCCTCTCCCAGAGGAAATGAAGCAATATTCAGAACAATTTTTTGGAAAACTATTATTATAGATGTCCAGTAGAAAGATGTTTATACTTTTGAATCTTTTAGTCCATTTCGCATTCATTTTGGATGCGGTGGGTATTGTTCAGTGTTATCATCTTCTCATGTGTGTTGCCTTTTTCAACTCTCAGTAGAAACCTGCCTTTGGTATTGATTCTTCCAGATGTATTTGTTGTGTGTTGTATACATATTATAGACTGGTGGGCTTCACAGCTGGCTAGGGGTTGTGAGGGTGTCCTTCATGTTAACTTTTCTAACTGTAGTGTTGGTTCAAACTTGCTTTGGCTAGTGAGTGGTTGGTGGGCGCTCCAGTGTGGTTTGCTCTTTCTTTCCTATTTAACATCAATTTCGTCCTTATCTCTCCCCTCTTTGTCTCTGTATGTGACTCTCTAGTATTGTAATCTTCAAACCTAATATGACTGCTTTGTTGCGCATGTGCTGTTAAACTCAAACTAAAACTAATCTCTCTGGCTTTCTCTTTGACAGTTTTTCTTGCGTTCATTTTCCCACTCTCCACACAGACAGAACTAGTTGTATTTACAACACTGAGAGCCAGATTAAGGTGATTCCTTCATTTCTAGTGTGAACTTATTCAATTCTGTGTAATTTATGGGATCTAACTCAGTTCTGTGTAGATTTATAGGAACTTATTCAATGCTCTGTTTGTATGATGAAGAAAAAACTGTAGCAAAAATCTACTACTTAAACAAAAGTTTTGTCAGGCAGAGAATGGGGCCCAAGAGTCATTAAGTTTGATCATGAATTGGAGGTACATTTTATGTTCCAAACAGAGCATGCAATGGTCAAGACAATAACTCTTTTTTCACAGCTTGGAGACATAGTGTAATTGTCGGTGACAACAATGTCACATATATACAGTTTGAAGGCTTGCTATGTTACAGTTTGTGACAAAGACATTACTTGTACAACTTGAAAACATGTGATGTAACAGTTTATGATAACGACTTTACTTGCAGAGCTTGAAGACACATAATTGTAACAGATCATGACACTAACACTATTACAACACAGCTTGAAGACATTTAATGGTAACAAATCATAACACTGACACTACTTACACAGTTTGAAGACACATAATGGTAACAGATCATGACACTGACACAACTTACACAGTTTGAAGACACATAATGGTAACAGATCATGACAACGACACTACTTACACAGCTTGAAGACGTCTGGTGTAACAGTTCATGACAACGACATTACTTACACAGCTTGAAGATGTCTGATGTAACACTTCCTGACAAAGCACAGCTTCCTGTGTGTTAACAGGTCATGACAACGATATTACTTACTCAGCTCTTGTGTTCTCGGAAATTGAAGACACAAAATGTCACAGTTGGTTGTACATGAATAATCCCCATTTGCAACCTGTCTGTCCAATGGGTTGTTAGAGGGCACCACTGGTGGGTCCAATTTCTTTTCTTTCCCTCTGTTGTTTCTGTCTGTCTGTCAATCTGTCTGTCTGTCTGTCTGTCTTACTCTTTCCCAGCACTATTTGGCTGTTCATGTCGATGTGCTTTTCTTTACCCAAACAAATTCAAACCTTCCTATTAATGTTCTGTTTGCGCCTGGCACTTAAACACAGGTATTTTACGTGATGGTTTGTAGATTTATGAAGCATATGTCTAGGTTTTTACTTGTATGTGATACAGAGTATGTCAATGTTATCCATGTGATATAGAATTATGGACATGTTAGTGTTTTCTTTGTGATAAAGAATTATGGATAGGTTAATGTTTTCTATAGAATGTGTCATTGTTTTCTGGGTGGTGTCATGATAGTTCTGTTGTCTATAGATCTTGTTCACATATGATGCGTGATGTCTGTGGCTGACAGCCTCACAATGGATTGTGTATGTTTCTGGCAAAACTTTTTTGTGAAGGTATTCTTTACAAGGGTTTTTTATGTAGACTTGCTGTATCCCTTCATATGCCCCACCACCATCCCACATTCTCTATGTCTCTTCTCTTCTTTCTAGCCCCACCTCTGTCTCCTAGATCAGCATGGCCAGATTCTGACAATTAGTTGAATTATATGTGAGTTGAGAGAATGGGCTTTATATTGGAAGGTGTAAAACAATGTGTACATTCAATATATGATAAGACTTTTAAGTCACAGTCTGTATTAGTTGTATTGTGTAGACTCTATATGTCACTCCCAGACTTTGCTTGTTGTATTGTGTAGATTCTATATGTCAGTCACAGTCATATTACGTAGATTCTCTTTATCTGTGGGAGTTGTAGATTGTACATGGCAATATTGTCAAGGACAGACTGCCCTTAGTTATTTATGAAAAGGTTTTCTTTCTGTTTCATATACACACCCAGTGAATGTGTCGCTGTATCATCCTTATCACTCCCTCTTCTTTCTTCTTTCCTATGTATGTTACTCTCTAGTAATAACACCTTCGGCACTTATGGTAACTATTTGTGCTGCAAGTGCCAAAAACAACTACTGCAATCCAAAAAAAAAGAAAATGTGTTGCCTTCTCTGTGCTGTGTGTTGGAATTCAGCAGATTTTAGAGTATTGCAGGAAAAAGAGGGCCCTTTATTCCCCATAATAATAGTCACTTTTCTGTTTGACAGTTCTGTTGGTCTTCATCACAGTGTAAAGATATATCAGTGTATTTGCTCAATGTTCTTCTACTTCTAGAGTGTGTGTCCCTGAGACGTAGATGGAATGGGAGGCAGGTTGTCCGCTATTTATTTACTAACAACTACTATGTATGCATATAACTGTTTACTGACATGAAATACTCAGGATTTTCCTGTTTACCTGGTATATTTTAGTTTTACATCAGCGCAATTTGTTTTTCTTGGGCTTACTTGGCCAAGTCTTTATCTTCTATGAGGTGTTTTAGTGTGGTTGAGAGCCTCATCTATTGTTCTAAAGTGAGATTTGAAATTTCCAGTGCTTTTTGATATGTGAATTCGTTAGGGACAACGCTACAACCGTATATCCAATTTTTTCCCCATGAACAAACATTTTGTTCAGCGGCACCAAAAGTCTGATTTCCTTTCACATATTTTGCGTCTATAGCAATTTTGGTTTTTTTTAAACCTCATCAGCGTCCACTTTTGCCACTTTCAAGGTGCTAAAATTTTTGTACCATCAGCCTGCGTGTATTTTTAAGCTAGGCATTAAATAACACCTGTCACTACCCAGGTGATCCTCACCGCCCACCAAAATTACCAGATCAGCCATTAGTAGGTGATATCGCCCAGGTGGCAAGCACTGGTCTAAAGGATTCTTCTGAAGTAAAAGTAATGGAAGGCAATGGAAAATATTGGCTCACGCTTTGATATTTGCTTGAACCTAGAGCAAGGAGAGGGGAATTGTTGAAAATTTTCCTTTTGTTGTTAGGAAAAGGGGTGAATGCTGTGTGATATGTACTAATGATCATTGCTGAAATTATTTTTGTTTAGATGTTCAGATAAACCCTTTGATAGAGCTACCCGGTGTAGGAAATTTCCAAAGGACTCTCCCTCCCCTCCCCCCCCCTCCCCTTAGTTTACCTGACGAGATGAAGGAAGAGACGCAAACATTGAGATTCTTTGATTTCTTCCTCTGATTTCCAATGTTTTTTCTTGTGCTTTTCCTGTGTTGTTTTGGCTGTATATTATTGTATTTCTGATGTCACTTTTGTTTCATGAATGATCTTTATGGGACATTTGTTTCTGTAGTTTTGGTCTGTATTCTCAGTGAGACACTCCACTCCTATCGACCAGCATATCAGCTGTTTGATCGTTGATCTCGACTGTGAGATATGATGGCTTCTTATCGAAAAGCACAAGTTCCAAGTTTGTTGATTTTGGCTCTTGTGGTGATCAATACTAGGTTCAGAATTAGTGTGTGGTATTGATGAAACGTTCATATAATTCAGTAATCAGGGCTTCAAGATTTTTGTATTTTGCTAAATATATTGTCTATAGAGTATATGGAATTGTGTTTAGAATGAGGGTAGTGCAGCCTGGAGTATACGTTAAGGTGCCCGATCTCAAAGCATTTGTCCGTTTCTCTTATCTGTTCTCAATTTCAGAGAGCTATTTTTTGTTCCGACTTTACCTCAGACTGGCTACGCAACTGTAACGTTTTCATTTTCCAACCATCAACATTGAGTGTCCATTTACCTCTCCCCCCAAGGTCAAGGACATTCTTTTGCAGGCCTGTTTAACATTATATTGACCACCCATTTTTTTCTAATGTTTACTGGCCTCATTCATGCTGTCGAACACCCGTTATTTTCAACATTTACACAATTTGCTTTTGTGCTTCAATGCCCCCCTCCCCCCCCCAATCTCCCTCCAATTTTGTTGCTCCAAATTTGTTACCTTGATATGTTGGTTGTACTTTTAGATCTGCTAGTTTTTTTCTGCAGTCTCTGAGAAGGAGTATGAAAAACAAACTGGACTTTGTTGCATGGTAATTATTGGAGGCGTTTGTTGCCTCCTTGTAAATTGTTGATTTTTTTTTTACCCCTGGCTTTGTATGTCAAGTTTGGTTTCTAACCCAAACCATGAAAAGTTCATCTGTACAAAGCCATTCCAGTTCTGTGTAGTGTAAAGCATTGTTTGGACGTATTTTACCCTATAGCATCGAGCCTTGCACAACGCAGGTGAAAGTTGCATGTTTGACAAGGCTTTCTAGGGCTATCACGCAACGTACACACATTCTATACATTATGTACACGCTATATTTAAATATATATATATATATATATATATATATATACATGATATATACAATATACACTTGCCCATATTTGGATCTAGTCTGTGGAAGAGGTGGTTATGTCTTGCCAACAGACCAGACTCCTGCATGTTTGTATTTATTGCTGGCTCATCAAGGAATGTTTGTGAGTTGTACTGGCTGTTGTCTTAGCCTGGCTCTGTATTTGCAGATGTTGTCATGTTCTGTTGTCTTCTTTGTTTGGACGTTTGTTGGTATATTTTTGCGCTCTTCAGCTGGACTTGCAGGATTCAATTTGTCAATTTTTGTTTGGTTTTTATTTTATTTTGGTTTGTGGTTTGTTCTTGAGAAATGTGGTATCATGTAACATGATACCGGTGTATACCAGGATCACTGTATGATAGGTACTTGTCTCTCTGGAAACTCTCTGTCTCTCCTCCCCTCCCTCCACCCTTCCGTCACCCCCTGGGGCGGTGCTTCTGACTGAAGTGTCTTTAGGCCATTCCCATTGTGCACAGTAGAATTGTAAATGGGCTGATTCATCAATGTCATGCTCATAACTGTTCCTAAACTGCAACGTGGAACTGCTGCTTTTTCTTTCCTAATCCTTACTATCGTCATTTTCTCTCTACTTCTTTGGTATGTTTGTCACACTCTTGTGACCCG